AGAAGGCATGTGACTGGTGCAAACACAGTCCTTCATTTGCATGAGGAAATGTTGTGATTGGTACAAGTGTAGTCCCTTATTTGCCATACCCCCTTCCTGGCTACATAAATAGGCTGTTTGGCTCACAAAGTAAGCCAGCTTGGAGACACTCTTGCCCCTGGTGCTGTAATATTAGGCCCAATAAAAGACTTCTGAGTGATATTTTTTCTTTTTTTTTTTTTAATCTAGTTTTGATTTTTATCATTAGCAGAGTGGACTAAGCTGGTACCTCAAAGAGGGAATGGCAGAAGCAGCAGCAGAACTTTCACAGCAGTGGAGATAATGAAGGGCAAATTACAGGAGGTCTCAAAAGGTGATAATTAGCAAGGGAGATACTTCTCTTTCCCAGGAAACATCTGTTTGCACCAGAGGACATCTCTGCCCTCGGGCAATAAAAAAAAAAAAAAGGCTATAAAAACCCAATTTCCAACCTGACCCACAGGACCACCAGTTTCCAGGTCCCGCAGCATGCCCTCATGCAGCCTTTCTCTCTCTTCTCTACAAATAAAATCTTTCTGACCACTACTGCTGGAGTCCGCCTCTGCTTTCAATCTCAGAACGGACCAAAAACCCCAACATCTAAAAATTCCTGCATGTCATCTGTGTATCAATAGTAGTAACAGTAGCAGTAGCAACAAGACCGCAGCTTAAGAATTCCAGAGAGTAGACAGGGCAGAAACAAGGAGGAGCTGAGGTAAAAGAGACTACAAGGTCTGTAAAAAGCTAAAGACAGGAAACTGTGGCCCTGGAAGAGTTAGAGTTGCTAAGCCTTAAGGGCCAAGTCTCAGACACCCTAGGCCTCAGAGCTGTGGATTCCAATACCCTGGGCCCTGAGGGCTGTAACACTAGCTGATGGAGGGCTAAGAGTACCAACAACCAAGGCCTGTACAAGAGCCGTAATGCAAGAAGACAGGACTCACTTCTTGCTCCTTGCTACTGTTCCCACAACAGCTGGAAGCTGAGGATTACAATAGCTGCCAAGTGCTGGGGCCTCTGATGGTTAAAGCCCAGAGCGGTAAGCCTCCAACCTGACTGCATAAAGCCAGGCTTGGAAGGGACTGCCAGCATTAGAACAGCTTTCTCCTTGCTTATCTATAATTCCTCTGAGGGTAGCCCAAAAAGACTCCAGACAGCTGACTGGTAGTATTTTCATACTCTAAGGTAAAAGAATTAAGCACATCACACATCCTCTGTGATCAGTGGGAAAGAACTCTTCAAAGTTTGCATAAGGTTTTCTTGAAACTTTGCCCCAAACACTTTTTTCTCTTTGCTGTTTTTTTTTTCCTTTTTATAATAACAATTATCTGATGAGTCTTGTGAATCCTCTAAGACATCATTGAATCTGAGTTGATCATAGGGATAGACCTTTAATGCAGCTACCTATTAGAAATATGCTTTCAGTATAAAAACACAAGTAGGTTAAAAGGATGGAAAAAGATATGCCATGTTACCACTAATCAAAAGACAACTAGACTATCTACATTAACATCAGACAGCAGATTCCAGAGCAAAGAATATGAAAGGGATAAAGAGGGCAATTTCATAATCAAAAAGTAGTCCATTCATCAAGATGACACAGAAGTCCTAGGTATGCATTTGTGTACTACTTACGTAGTTTCAAAATGCATGAAGTAAAAGCTGTTAGAAGTAAAAGGAATAAACAAAGAATTGCATACCCTTCTCAATAATTGAAAATAAGTAGCTGGGCATAGTGACTCATGTCGTAATCCTAGCTATTCAGGAGGCAAAGAATGAGAGAATTACAGTTCGAAGCCAGCCCAGGCAAAAAAGTCCTCAAGACAATAAAAAGCTGGGCTCAGTGGCATCTGCCTGTCATCCCAACTACTTAGGAAACATAAATAGGAGGATCACATCCCAGGCTGGCCTAGGCATAAAATCAACACCCAATCCTCAAAATAATCAAAGCAAGCAGAGGTTGTAGCTCAGTGAGCTACCATATATGAGACCTTGGGTTAAATCTGTAGCACCACAAAAGGTAAATAAGTGTTGCGAATTAAAGAAAATAAGTAAACACATGGGAGGGTTGACCAACACTATCAAACGAATTGACCTAATAGACATTTATATAAGAGTCAGACTCAGGCTAACAACAGCAGTACACAAAAAGATTTAATAAATTATATCCTAGGATATAAAACAAGTATCAATAAGTTTTAAAAGATTCAAATAATACAAAGTATCTTCTCTGACTAAAATGAAATTAAACTAGAATCAATAACAGAAAAATCTCTGGAAAACCTCAAAATAGCTGGCAACTAAGTGACACATTTCTAAATAATTCAAGGATCAAAGAAATTAAGACATCAAAATAGAAAGTATTTTGAACAGCTTGAAAACGAAAACATAGTATGTCAAAATCTGTGGGATGCCCCTAAAACAGTACTTAGAGAATAACTGATGCCATTAAACTTCTGTTATCAGAAAGGAAGATCTCAAAACAATGACCTCAGCTTCCACCTTAAGAAAACAGAAAAAGATCAAATTAAGCCCACAGTAAGAGGAAAGAAACAATACAGATCAGAGCAGAAATCAATAAGACAGAAAACATAAACAGCAATACAGGAAAATAAAATTAAAAACTGGTTCTTTGGGCTGGTGGAGTGGCTCAAGTGGTAGAGTCCTGTCTAGCATGTGTGAGGCCCTGAGTTGAAACCCCAGTGGTACCACCACCACAAAAAAAAAAAAAAACTGGTTCTCTCAGATCAATAAAAATTGCTAAACCTCTTGTCAGTCTAATCAAGAAAAAAAGAGAAGACATAAATTCCCAATATCAAGAATGAGAAAGATTATATTCCTGCATTCCTACACACTAAGCAAATAAAAATAGTATAAATAGCTTTTGCCAATAAATTCACATCACTGCAATAGACAAATTCCATGAAAAACAAATTACCAAAACTCACTCAAGAAAAAGGGTACAGCAATCTGAATATCCACATATCTATTAAATAAATTGAAACTGGCAAAACTTATAAATCTTCCCACAGAAAAACTCCAAGACCAGTTGGCTACACTGATGAATTCTATCAAACATTTAAAAATAAATAATACTAATTCTAGCCAAATTCATCTAGAAATTTGAAAAGAAGAGAATAATCCCCAACTCATTTTATAAAACTAGCATTATTATGATACCAGAAACAAAGACATTACACATCAAAACTTATAGAAGAATGCTCAAAGCGATATTATTCATAATAGCTAAAAATTGGAAACAACCCAAATGTTCATCAATTGATGTATGAACAAAATATTTGTATCTATTTGGTCATAAAAAGGAATGAAGTACTGATATATTCAACAACATGAATGAATCTTGAAAATATTAAACTAAGTAAAAGAAGCCAGACACAAAAGGCTACATAGTGAATGATTCTATTTATATGAAATAGCCAGAACAGGAAAACTCAAGAGACACAGAGACATTCGTGGTGGCTTTAAGGGAAGAGAATGAGAGTGACTGCTACAGGGACTGGCAATGTCCTTTTGGAAATGTTCTGGAAATGTTCTCGAAACAGATAATGGTGATAGTGGTACAACACTGTTAATATACCAAAAGCTATGAACCCTACACTGTAAAATCATTATAAGAATGAATTTATGAGCTAGAGCATAACTCAGGTGTTACAGCACCTGCCTTGCAAATGCAAGGCCCTGAGTTCAAACCCTGAGTACTGAAAAAAAAAAGTGAATTTATGTGACTTGAATTTTATCTTAATAAAAACTACCTTAAAATTGATTGCATTTTTAAAAATTAGCAACAAGCAATCCAAAAATGAAATTATAAAAACAACTCTATTCACAATGAAAAATACCTAGGAATAATGTATGATAAATGTATCAAAAGAAATGCAAGACCTGTCCACTAAAAACTATAAAATATTGATGATATTAATTAAGCAAAACATAAATAAATGGAGAGATATATCATGTTTATGGATTGGAAGACTCAATATTGTCAAAATAGCAATTCAATAAAATCGCAATTAAAATCCCAACAAGTGTTTTGTAGAAGTTGATAAGGGGCTTCTAAAATTTATATGAACATACAAAGTATCTACAGAATCAAAACAATTTTGAAAAAGAATAACAAAGTTGGAGAATGTACACTACCTAACTTCAAATCCCTAACTTCAAACCATATTAGAAAAGTACAGTAATCAAGACAGGCTAGACATGGAATAGACAGTTCAGAAATAGCCCACGCATTTATGATCAATCAATTTTTGACAAAATGCCAGTTAACAGGGAAAGAACAGTGTTCTCAACAAATGATAACAGAGCAACTGACTATCTATATGATGATGTAATTTCACTTCTAGGTATCAATCCAAGAGAAAACTTTAAAATATGTCTGTACAAAGACATATAAATAAATGTTCACAGCAGCATTATTTATCTTAGCCGAAAACCTGGAAACAACCCATTATTTTCATCCATTGGTGGAATAAACAAAATAAAATATGTTATAGTCATACAATGGAATGCAATTTAGCATTAAAAAGTCACAAACTGGGCTGGCAGAGTGGTGCAAGTGGTAGAGCACCTGCCTAGCAAGCGTGAGGCCCCGAGTTCAAATGCCAGTACCACCATCAAAAAAAAAAAGTCACAAACTACTGATGTATGTTTTGAGTGCACTTCAAAAACAAGCTAAGTGAAAGAAAAAAGATTTTTTAAATGATGACATATTACATGATGTTATTTATATGAAACTTCAAGAAAAGGCAAAACTTGACATAAGCGAATCAATGGTTATCTGGGGGGTGGGACTAGAAAGGGGCATAAAGGAACTTTTGGGGAAGATGGAAGAGTTCTAAAACTGGATTGTGGGGGTGGCTGTACAACTGTATATATTTTCTACAATACATCAAACTGTACAGTTACAATAGGTGAATTTATGGGCCAATAAAGTTTTGTTTTTAAGTTGCATATTCACTTACCATTGTAGCCTTCAAGAACAGAATCAATAATAGGTCTTGCAGTTAAGTTGTAAACGTCAAGTTGTTTACTCTCTGGTCCAAAAACAGTATCAAAAGTAAATGTCTTGGGAGGCTCATTAGAAGAATCAGTCTTATGTACAGTGATAGTTCCTCTCATCTCATCCACACTGACAGCCTGTTTGTAGCACATTGATTTCTCTCTGTCATTGAGGGGCCGGCACCTAACAACCACCTTCACATTATCACAGCTTTCTGGCTTCTCTGATTTATTGATCTGGTGGAGACAATATTCACAAATAATAAAAAGAACATTTATTTTTGCCCTCATCATACTAAATTTGTAATTTTTTTAAAAAGCTTTGTCATCTCAGTGCCGTGTATGTATTAGGACTTTGTAAATCTTCGTTAAATTAATGATTTCATACATATGTAGAAAAAGCTTACAAAAAAGATACAAAAAGGAAAATAGTTTGCTTTGCAATATAAAAGAGGGAAGAGAAAATCTAAATTGCCTGTGTTGTGCATACTGTAAAAGCAGAAAAAAAATTAATACATTATAGCTAGTATTTCTGCATCAAAGTCCCTTATATCCTTTCTGAATTTCTTGCCTATAGGAAAACACATGTGAACATGCTTAACAAGTTTAAAAATACAGTAGTGGACTGGAGGAGTGGCTCAGGCAGTAAAAGTGCCTGCCTAGCAAGCTTGAGTTCAAGCCCCAGTGCCATAAAAATACACACACACACACACACACAGTAGGTCCTTTGTTCCTGAAACATTTACTTCTATTTTCTATAATGTATTAGTAAAAATTTTAATCATATGATATACCCACATATGGCTTATCTTCTCCATAGAAGACAACAGTAAGGACAGAAAAGTCCAATGGCAGACAGAGAAAAATGTCTTCATTATGACCAAATCTTATGCACATTTGTATATATAAAGTTTAAATTTTTGAAATTTTACAAGATTAAGAATCTATGTTAAAACACAATCCTATTATTGAAGCAGTATCTTACTACGTCAGATACTCTACTAAGCATTAAAGAGAAACAAATATAAGCCATTACCATGACTTTCATAATATTAATACAATACCTCTCTCCATCTCTGCCTTAATCACCCTTGTATGGATCACCAAGATTTGGGTCCTAGATTATAGCATCCTAACTGTACTCTGGCATCTAATTAAATTGCCCTACAATCTGTCCTCTATGCGGCAGTCAGTCAGTATCAACACAAATTTAATCATGTCACTTAAAGTTCTTCCATGGCTTCCCATATATCTTATGATAAGAAAATTTTAAGGTAGGATGTAAAATCTGGCTCCCATCCATGTCTAACTGTCTAGGCCTATTTCACTACTCTGCTTGCTCTCTCAGCCACAACTACCCTGGGCTTCGTGTCTTTCTCTAGTCACCATGCTCCTTCTTCACCACTGGCCTTTCTATGTGCTATTCCTTCTGCCTGGAACATTTCTCAGTCTTCTCTTCACTTTAAATAGTAACTTCTTATCCTTCAGATCTCACTCAGTAGCCACTTCTTTGGGAACACGTCTCTGACAAGGTCAAATGTTTTTTTATTGGCTCTGAGAGCATCTCTCCTCTCCACACAATTTTACTTTGGCTTGTCCCTTGTTTGATTAATGTTTTGTCTTTCTATCTTCACCAGAGACACAACCAACTAGTCAAGGGGCTGAATTCAGCCACAAATTTCTTTTGTTTGGCTAATAGTATTTTTATATATTTTTAACTAGTTGCTAAAATTGAGAAATTAAGTCTCTAGAAAAAAAAAAGTAACTGATCTGATACCGAAAGGCCAGAATTCCTATATGGTAACACTTTCCAATTCATTAGAAATGACTTCTGTTGTATGCTACCCATCAGCTTCATTCATTAAGCTATCTCTGTAAATGTGTATGGTTTTCACCTCTGCCCAAGAAGGCAAGCTTTTCTTCCAAATTCAAGAACCTGGCTGGTTTTGCTCAATTTTGCATCAACCTTATCAACCAAATTCTGGTGCCCAATATTTACTGAATGAATAACTTGAAAGCAATAAATAGGAACAGATACAGAGCATTTAATGCTACAAGTCGAGCACGTCCTCCAAGTCTCCTGTGCGTTATTTCATCCTGTTAACAACCCCAAGAGGAAAACTTTAATTATGTGGGAATTAAAGGCCCAAATTAAATAATTGCCCCAGGTCTCATAACTAATAAGTAATCCTCCATGGCTCAAGTTTTATCTATCACCCTTTATTGTACTTAAAACTCCTCTGTATTAAGACAGCATAACAATCCGGGAAATCCTAGATGAACATACGGCCACCGCCCACACACAAAGACACCTACGAGTGACATTGTGCACCGCAAGCTAACAGCCACGAGAAGACTAACAACTTGAGCCTAGGAAAGTCGAGTCCGGAGCCCGGAATAGGGCGGCAGCCTTCGGTCGGCCACCTCTATGCGGAGGCCCGGCTAGGTGCCGCGCATCCCGACGCCCCACCGGGCGTCAGGGAGGGCTGGGAGCCAGGGCGCATCCTCCCGCACAGCTCCTTCATGTCAAGCAGCGCAGGCCCCGCGGATGCAGCAGGGACCCAGGCGACAGGGCCTGCTCCTGGGCGCCTCCCAAAGCGGGCTAGACCTCCACGGGTCCCGGGCGGATCTTCCAGTTTCCTCGACCGCCAAGGCCACAGGGCCGGGCCCTGCCCCGCCCCACCCGGGCCACCCGCCCGCTCCGCGCTTCTATGGCAACGGCCGCGCCCCCGAGCCAGGCCGCTGGGATGAGGAGGAACCTCAGCGGCTCAGCGGCTGTCCTCACCGGCATCTTGGCCCCCTCCCGTGCCCGGCGGACGTCCCTGCCCGGGATGCAGCCTAAAGACACCGGGTTCACGGGAGTCACTGGCAAGAGACTACTGAAACACCTTGGCGCTCCCGAGACTGCGGCTCCCAGGGCGAGAGCGCGCAATGCGCATGCGCACTCCGAGCTCGCCCCGCCCAATCCCGGTCTCAGCTCCCTCGGCCCCGAGAACTACGCCTGCGCAGAGGCTTTCCGAGTCCATCTCCTAGGACGCCGACTAAGTCCGCGCCTGCGCAGTGCTGCTGTTCCCGGTGCTGAGTCTGGTTCGCACTGAGGCGGGGATGCCCTGCAACCACCCCAATTGGGAGGAGGCTGTCCTAGGTTGCCAAACCCATTTTCTGGCGCTTGCGATAGCCCGAATGTGGGTTTTTTCTTTTTCCTTTTTGGCGGTACTGGGGTTTTGAACTCAGGGCCTCGTGCTTGCTAGGCAGGCACTCTACCACTTGAAACACTCTGCCAGCCTTTTTTTAGGTTGGGTAGTTTTAAAAATAGAGTATCCCGAACTACTTGCCCTGGCTGGCTTCGAATGGCGATTCTCCTCATCTCTGCCTCCTGAGTATCTAGGATTACAGGCGTTAGACACCAGCGCTGGCTATAGCCCAAATATTAAAAGCAATAGCTGTTGTACATTGTATCCCAGCTGAAGACCTTACGTAATTACCTCTCTTGATTGCTCACTTGTTTATGACCTGTCATACCTTTAAAAAGTGAGATCCTTAGGAGCTTGTTATTTTCATACGTTGTCTCCACAACCTGGCTAGAACGTGGCAGAGTGGGATTTCAATAACTTTGTGAAAGAGCTAATGATTCATCCTCTTTCCAGTCTGAATGTCTCCCCCGAGCATCAGTCCACCTGGATGTGTAACAGATGTATCATTTCCAAAGTTTAAATACTGATCCCACCACCACTTTACCACTTTGCCTCCCTTAATCTTAACCCGACCTGTTTTTGTTTTTGTTATTAAAAAAAATTTTTTAAGCTCCCTCTCAGACTTCATTCATCTTAACAAATGGAAGCTGAATTTTGACCATTGCTTAGCTTAAAACAGTCTCCTCACACTCAATATTCAATCCTCCAATACAGCCTGTTGGATCTAATCTTCTAAGTAGAACCAGAATTTGATCCACTTACCGTCACCACTTCTTGCTTGCATTATTACAACAGCCCAGAATGGGTTCCTTACTTACATCCTGGTCACCTTTTATAATACAGCAGCCCTCGGTGTCTGTGGGTTCTGCATCCAGAGGTTCAACTAACAGCAATACTTTATCACAATTATTTACATAGCACTTACATTGTATTAGTTATCTAGAGATAGTTTAAATACATAGGAGGATGTGTGTGGGTTATATGCAAACACTGTGCCATTTTACATAAGGGACTCTAGCTCCCACAGAATTTGGTATGGAAAAGTGGGGGCTGGAACCAGTCTCCCACAGATACTGAGATATGACTGTATTTTCAACACAAGAGTCAGAGTGATGGAGTTTAAAAACATGAATCAGATCTTGTCTTTTCTCTGCTCCAAATCCTCCATTGATTTCCTGTCCCTCCGAGTAAAAACCGTTAAGTCCTTCCTTGCCTTCTACAGTCCTTCCTCTTGCTTCTTCTGCAAAAGTCCCACCTGGCCTCCTTTTCTTTGTCCAATGTTCCAGGCATGTTCCATCTTAGTGTGCAACAGCTGTGTATTTGCAATAGGAATTAATGAAAATAACTATAAAGTATTTCATGTTGTGTACTGTTCTAATCTTTATTTTTAAAATCATTTAACCTATACAACAAACTTTGTTTTTTGGTGGTACTGGGGTTTGAACTCAGGGCCTTAGGCTTGCTAAACAGACCATCTACCACTTGAGCCATGCCCTCATCCCTTTTTAAAGCTTTAGGTATTTTTTCAACATTTATGCCTAGGCCTGCTTGGACTATGATCCTCCTAGTTATGCTTCCTATATAGCTTTTGATTGGTTGAGGTGGGAGGTTTCAAAACCCCCCAGCCCCTCCCACACACACATGGCTGGCCTTGAACTGCAATCCTCCCAGTTTCTGACTCCCAAATAGGAAGGAATACAGGTGTCAGCCACCACCATGCTGCAATAATTCGTTACTTTTTATGGGTGAATAATATTCCATTGTATGGCTATATCACATTTTTTAACCTATTTGTCATTGATGTATATTTAGGTTGCTTCTACTTTTTGGTTATCATGAATAATGTTTCTATAAACTTTTTTTAGGAACATGTTTTCATTTACCTTGGTTATATACCTAGAAATAGAATTGCTGGGTCATTTGGTAACTCTGGTATTTAACATGTTGAGACACCACCAACTTTTTCTCACAGTGGCTGCACCATTGAACACCCACCAGCAATGTGTACGGTTTACAGTTCTCCACATCTGCACCAGCACTTGCTTCTGTGTAAAATAGAATCTCATTGTGTTTATTTTTCATTTCCCTGATGAATAGTGATGTTCTGTATCTTTTCATGTGCTTATTGACAATTTATATAACTTCTTTGGAGAAATGTCTATTCAAATCCTTTACACATTTTGTCTTCACTATTAAAATGTAGAATTTCTTTCTATATTCAAATCCCTTTTCAGATATACAATATGTAAATATTTTATTCCACTGTATGGGTCTTTTTGGGGTGGGGAACTGGAGTTTGAACTCAGGGCTTCTTGATGGCAAAACAGGTGCTCTACTGCTTGAGTCACACGTCCAGTTTATTTTGCTCTGGTTATTTTGGAGATGGGGAATCTCATGAACCATTAACCTGGGTTGGTCTCGAACCATCATCTTCCTGATCTCAACCTCCCAAGTAACTAGGACTACAGACATGAGCCTCCTGCACCCAGATTGTGGGTTGTCTTTTAACTTCCTTCATGGTACAAAGTTCTTTTTTTTTGGCTGGAGGGGGCAGTGGTTTGCAGTACTGGAGTTTGAACTCAGGGCCTCATGCTTGCCAGGCAGGTGCTCTACCACATCAGCCATACAAAAGTTCTTGATGGTACATAAGTACAAAAATTTTTAATTTTGATCAAGTCCAATTTATATTTTTTTCTTTTGTACTTGTGATTTTGGTGCATATGCAAGAAATCATTTCCTAACCTAAAGTCATGAAGATTTGCTCTTGTATGGTTATATTGTTTTAGCTTATGAACTTCTCCAGGTTTACAATCTATGTCAAGTTTCCTTTGTATATAGTGTGACACAGAGATCCAAATTCATACTTTTATTTTGATTTCTGAAAACAAGCTCAATACGATTCTTATCCGTGTGCTGCTTCTCTATAAATAAGGTTTTCTCCCTAGCTTCTTTTGAGGTTGTTTTTCCCTAATCTTATAATATAAATACTAGGTGTTATTGTTATTTGTCACTTACCTGCTTAGTGTTCTCTGAATCTCCTAGATCAGTTGTTTGATGACTGATACTAATTTGAAGAAATCTTCATTCATTATTGCCTTAAATATTTCTTCTATTCCTGTTTCTTCTCCTGGCCTTCTCATATATTTCAAATGTAAATTTAGGGCTGGCAGAGTGGCTCAAGTGGTAGAACACCTGCCCAGCGAGCTTGAAGCCCTGAGTTTGAACCCCTGTACCACCAAAAAGAAAATATAATGTAATGAAATTTTTAAAAGAAAATGACTTGTATAAGGAAAGAGTGTATAGATCATAAGTGTACATCCTGATGGACTCTCACAAGGTGCACCTGTTATTACACCTGTGTAATCAGCAACCAGATAAAGAAACCAGCTCCTTACAAGTACCTGGTGTCCTATTCCAGTCATTATCCATCCATCCCAATGGGGAACCACTATCTTGACTCTAACAGTATAGATTATTTTTCTTTTAAAAATACTTTATATAAAGCTGGGTGCAGTGTAGCACACCTGTAGTTCCAGCTACTGGGGAGGTTGAGATAGGAGGATGGCTTGAGTTTGGGGCCAGCCTAAGCAACATCACAAGACTCTGTCTCTTAAGACAAAGAACAAACAAACAATACTTGGAGTCATACTGTATGATCTTGTGTTCACTTAGACTTACTACAATGTTTGTGAGACCCTTCTATATCGTTGAATATAGTAGTAATTCATTATTTTTCAAAGAGGTTGAACATACCACAATTTTTATCTATCATCTAGCTGCCGACATTTGAGCTGTATCCAGCTATTACAAACAGAGTTGCTCTGAGCATTATGCAGTTGTTTTTGGTGCACACATTTACATTTCTGTTTGCTGTATATCCAGGAGAACTGCTAGGATTTCCATATATATATATTTTTTTCGGTACTGGTTTGAACTCAGGGCCTTCACCTTGAGCCACTCCACCAGCCCTTTTTTGTGAAGAGTGTTTTGAGATAGGGTCTCCCAAACTATTTGCCAGGGCTGGCTTCGAACCAGGATTCTGATCTCTGTCTGCCTCCTGGATAGCTAGAATTACAGGCGACAGCCACCTCTTGTTTTTTGTCTGTCTCTCCTAACCAGAGTGTAAATTTCATATGTATTTGGTTCACTGTATGTCTCAGCCCCTAACACATAGTAGGACTTCAATAAATAACCACTGAACAGATAAATGGGTTAATGAATGTAAGTACCATTTGAAGGAGGGATTTATCACTCTTTTAGAGAGATCAAGACGCACACATCCTAAACTTCTTACTTTGAGGTAGGACGCAGGATGTGTGGCCAGACATGCTTGGCCAAGACCAAAGTGGTGGTCTTTGATGGGACGTGGACCTGGGGTGGGAAAGAGGGGCGCAGCTGGCCAAAGTGGGGACTGGAGGAACGGTTGGGGTGTCCCCACTCCCCCTGCGCTCAGGGTCCTCAGTGCGACGGCCCACTCCCCCCAGCGGGTACCACGTGCTGAGGGTGGGGCCCGCCAAGCCCGGCCCTTGGCGTGGCGGCCCAGGTGCAGGGTGCCGGCACTGGGTTATAAAAAGGCCGGTTAGGCCTCAGCCCAGCACTGGAGTCCGCTTACGCCATGGCCTCGGGCGCGCAGCTCCCCCCGGGGCCATCGGCCTCGGCCACAGCCATCAGCAGTCCCGGGGACCGTGACCAGAGGCGTCTGGACCAAGAGGCCCTTTGCTTTCTTCTCCCGCTGCCTTTAAGGAAGGCCTCTCCTTCCGCGCAGCCCCGGAGCAGGTTGCGGGGCGCCCGCCAGCCGCGAGCCGCATCCTTCCCAGCGCCGTCGGCGAGAGGACCCCTGGTGCCCCGGCGCGGGGCGGCGCGGGCTCCGCGGGCCTCAGCCCGGGTCCCCACCGTGGCCGGGGCTCAAACTCCGCAGCCCTCGTCGCCCCGGCCCGTGCCATGCGACTGGAGAGGCCTCCTGGACGAGGGCCGGCTGCACGGCCACCTGCAGCTGGCCCTGGGTCGCGAGGCGCGACTGTGGCGGGGTGTCCCGTCCCAGGTACGCGTCCCCGCGCGCGCCCGGCTCCCGCGCCGGGGCGGGGGAGAGCGGAGGAGGGGACGCACGGGCTCCACCTGCACGCGCGCCCATTGCTCCGCACCCTGCCGGCCGCGCCCTTCCCCTGGTGTGTCCCCAGCTGCAGGTACCTGGCGGGAGTCCCTGGCTTCCCGCACCTGGAGGGCGTTTTGCTAGTAAGCAGGGAATGAGCCCTGCTCCAGTTGGGGAACTCTGCTTAGGATGAAAAGCAGGTGTGCCGGCTTGAGTATTGAATTGGTACGCCGCCTGATCGTCGACAGTCACTGAATTCCACCAGGGCTTAAGATGACTGATTCTCATAGCCCCTCTGTCACCTTACAAAGGCGGGTCCTACCACTGGTAGACCAGGACTAGGACTGGTCCCCACGAAGACCTCTGTCCTCCCCGTCCCTCTCTTCCAGAAGGCTGAGCTCCGCAGATCCTTCCAGAACATCGTATTGGGGCTCCTGAAGCTTGACAACATCTTTCACTTCGCCCAGAGCACCATTAACCTGGCTCTCACCATCTTCAGCCGCCTTCTGGCTTCGGTAAAGGTAGGGAGGCCGCTAAGGATGGGGACAAGATGGTAGCTCCCCACTGTCGCTTAAGAGGTGAGCTATCCCTGACGCTCAAACCAGTGCACATAAACTAAGTCATTGCCCATACGTGGTAGGGCTGGGATTGAAACCTCTCCACATACCACTTTGGCATTTGTCTAGCTCAGTGTCCTGTGGTCCTCTGGGTTGGACTTGAGGACAACAGAGGACCTAGTTGGGGAAGTACGCCCATTGGTGAGATGGGATATGCTTGTCGGGACCTATCCAATGAGGTTGGAGGCTGGACAGGGCTGTGTTCCTGAGAATGTACCATACCTCCCACCTCCACTCAGTCCCTTCAACAAAGGAATACTGACTAGCCGCTTGTGGTTCTGAAATCAGGAGATCTTCATTGATCATATCTAAAACGGACACTAACTTGCTTCAAGGAGAAACACAATCTCCTTAAAAAAAAAGGGGAGGGAGAAGAAAAGCTTATTTTCTTAAAAGAAAAACCCTACTGTGCTTTCCAATTTGTTTCTGGTGTTGATAGTCTCAAATGTGTTCATACCACAGGTAAAAGACCGCTTACTCCAATGCGTCACAATTACTTCCTTAAGACTTGCTGTGAAAGTTAATGAAGAGGATGAGGTATGCATCCCTGGAAGCCCACACGGGGCTGCATCTGAGGGACAGGGGTGTAACACTGGAGCATTCTGTTCCGAAAAGGTGGTGTCCTTGGGAATAGTGGAAATTTTGGAAAAGTCACTAACTCCCCAGGATGTCTGCTGCCTCTTCTTTCTGCTTGTCAGACTCTAAGAGTTACCGAACTCTCCTGGTCCGGCAACCCCAGAGGCCTGAACTTCCTCTAAACAGATGCATGCTGAGCAGTTGACTAAAAGGCTTCCTGAATGATGAGGTTTAAAGTCCACCCCACAAACTATATAAGAAAGCTTCCCGAGATTTAATTTGGCTGATCCAGGAATCTGAGCCCCTTCTCTGAGAAGGGAAAGAGAGCCATGTGCCCGGGGTGGGGGGTAGAGAAGCCCTCGTAAGTGTCCAGGCTTGCTCAGCCACCTGAGTTTCTATGGCTTTCTGTTTAGGAGACGACTGTCTCCTAATATCCTTCCTAGACCTCCCCACTGCCCTCTAACCTCTTCTACTTTGGGGAGGGGGAAAACACTGCCATTTCCACAGGGTCCCCATTGGCCAATCTCTGAGGAAGCAGAAAAAAAAATGGTTTGTGTATCTATTTCCTGAAATAGAAATGTCTTAACCCTTGTTTATTAGAATACAATTTGTGCCCTCCAAAAGTTTTTGTTCAACTAAAAATGAAGGAAGCTGAGAGGCATCATTTCTAGGTAGGCATCAGGAACGGGGATGGGCAGAACCCATGGCTCCTGAGAAACTTGGGATGGGTTTTTGTAGTTGAACCCAAAGGGTTCAACTCACATGCAGTGAGGAATCAAGATATTTGCAAAGGGTGACTGTGTAGTGTGCAGTACAGTGTCACAACTTTCCAGGGACTTACTTGGTCAGATAGCCAAGATCTGGTTTTTCTTTCAGAAGCATTTTCTGTGGCAGACCATTGGAAGACAACTCTGACTCAGATTGTGGATGCCCAGTGCCCATGGATAAGGAAACAAAAGCTACTATGACATGATGTAGGGCTATGGCCTCTTTATTTTCTTTTTACAGTCAATTCCACGTGTAAAAGACTTCATAAAGCACTATGGCTCTGACTATAGCCCAAATGAGCTGCTGAGGATGGAGCTGGCTATTCTGGACAGACTGCACTGGGACCTCCACATGGGAACGTCGCTGGACTTCTTGACTATAGTAAGCACGAGGAGATTACAGAGTCTCCCTGAGACTCATTTGTGCCTTTGGAACAGCTGTTCACAACATAGGACAGCAAAGCACAGGCGTGCACACGTCCTTGCACATGCACCACGGTAAGGTGACCCAAGAGGCTCACAACATACGGAAGAGTGAAATGTATCTTAAATCTCACACCATTCCACCAGACTCTCATTTCTAAAGGACATTAAGTTAACAAAGATTTTTAGACGGCACTGTTATGGTGAATTTCTCTCTTTAAATACACACTGCAAAAATATTTAACTTTCCATTCTATGAATATTATACATAAATATCTGTCTGCTTTTGCTACACTTTACACACATTCACTTAGCTGTCTTTATTCACCTACACACAATTCTTTTTGAGGCTTTAGACCGTATTGATCTGGCACTTAAAAAAATATCATACATTAGTTTGTTTTAGTTAGGGGAATGATGGTCATCCTTCAGGAGATACTTGTTAGTAAGGCAAAATTATGCAATGTGGAAATGTCATGGGGTTTTGGTCTGTTATGAAGCATGAAGTTTAAATCACTATTTCGTTGTGGAAAATGGCCACTGTTGACAAGTTAGTTTATGTCAAGCAGATACAAGTAACTTTCTGCTCCCTTAATCTTGAATAGTTTCTATTTGAAATGAGTGTGTTTCTGTTTTTCAGAATTGAAACATTTTCACCTAAGTACTTTAGGTTCATAAAGCAGACTGGATAGTCTCTTCACTTCGGGTTGAAGCTGAGGTTGGGCATTAAGCCTCAATCAAGCCCCTTGTGGAACAATGAATGAGAATGAAAAGGGATGGGCCACATTTGATGCTCCCTGATGGAAATTGGAATTGTTTGCACTTTTGGTCACTGACATATGAAAAGTATGGGGGTTTCTGTTCTAACATTAAAAACCATGGTCTCCAGTTCCATGCCCTGGTAGTCCTGAACTCGCCCCGTGTGGTAGAGCTGCTGCCTCAGAGAAATCCTTCCCTCCACGTCGCGTCCCTGACCAGGCAACTGCAGCACTGTATGGCGGGCCACCAGCTACTGCAGTTCAAGGGCTCCACACTGGCTTTGGTCATCATCACCTTAGAGTTGGAGAGGCTCATGGCCGACTGCTGTACTCCTATATCTGATCTGCTAAAGAAAGCACAGGTAGACATCAGCTTTGCCCCAGGCCAGTTTGTCCCCTTAGCTGATACATTCTGCCCCTAAAAGGGTACCCAGGGCAGCCCTTCTTGGCCTTTATGGGCTCCAAAAGATACTCTGCCCATGACAACTGTGGCAAGAGTCTTCCCAAGTTTTAGGATTTCCATACTTGGCCACACTGTGTGGACATCAGTATAGGACAAGTGTCTCTTCCCTGGGCTGATGGGGTGGGTTTCTGACAGAAAAATCATTATTGTAATGACAGCCCTCATGGCCAAGAGGACTGGGGGGTGGGTGGGGAGAATGCTCAGAAAGAAGCAACATTGAACTTCTTATTGGGGACTGTAAATTCCAGTTCCCTCGCTATTTGTATGAGTATGTAGTGTGTGTGAGGCATTGTGGGGGGTGCTGTCAGCAGCCCTCAGGACAAATAGGTCAGGATGGAATGGGTAGTTAGACCAATGATCGTTTTACTGAGGTTGGAGATGGATGTCTCTAAGATGGTAGCTCTTAAGTTGGGTGGTTGGATCCTGAAGTTGCTTCAGGCTAATGTGTCCATGATCAATTACCTGTTCCTTAGAAGCTAAGATAGTTGCGCTTCAAGGTTGGTCACTCTGTTTTAATACAGATGAGTCCCGAGCAGTTAGGCTACTGCAAGGAACTTGTGAAACAGCACCTGAGAAGTTTGTAGTTATCGTCCTGCACAGACAACCGTTTAACCTGCTGGCCAGCCTCTCTTCCACTACCCCAGTGCCTCCAGAATATAATGGGACCCCTTTTTCTTGGACTCCTATGAATTCTTTGGCTTTATGACTCCTGTGATGAGAAGGGAAAGCGGCCCTGGAAGAGCAACTGAGGAAGTTGCTCAGTCATTAGAAGAAAGTTAAGAGGGAAGCTGGAGGCAGGTCAGGGACCATAAAGGTAAGAAAAGTGGTCTGACAGACATGACCCTGCCTTCTCCCTCTGTCCCCTGGGCCTGAAACCAGGGAGAATCAAGGCATGCTCAACCTGTGCTTGTATTTTCTTGCCTTCTCCAACAAGTGTTGGTACAAAAGCTAGAATTTGAAGCCAGAGGGTGGGCCCTACTCAGAACTGAAGGGCAGGGGCTGGTCCTGACTGACCAGTTCTTGCTATTCTAACTGCCAGAGCTTGCCGGCTCCTTCCAGCTTCCCAGGCCTGTCTCAAACACATGTGCAACACTTCAATTGTCTGCCCTGCTGCCCCTCCAAAACTGGGACACTCTCCAGACCTGTGTACTCTGGCACGACCTTGACTTATATCTTCTTACAAGGTCTGGATCAGAAAGTATGCTTTGTTTAATGTAACTCAAGCAAGTTTTAAGTACATTTTTCCTTTGTCACTCTGAAAAAGTAGTTTCCTAATCTAGAGGACTTCACACTAATGACTGGATATTGCTGGTTATCTGTGAGGGAGCAGTCTCAAGAGCTGCTTGTTGGAATGGCTGCTCTGACCACTGTGCTGCCAGGAGGAGGAGGGGGTGGCTTTCGTGGCTGCAGGAGGAGTCAGCTGCCTCTCTGAAGCCATGATACCATAGAGCCATTCTCTAAGTAAAGCCCATTTGGCAAAGATGCCAGCTGGAGCTGTGTAAGTAGTGTTTGGGAATTGAATGACTGAGCCACCCATTCAGAGGTGGTTTTGTGAAGTCTTTCCACTAGAAGCAGTAGTTTTGTGCACCACTTTTGTGAACCATTGGGTGGAGGGTTACTAGGTGCAGAACAAGTGGTCAAGGTCCAAATATACTGTCACATCTGTATCAGTCAGCACATAGCTCTACTTTTCCTTGACACAAATTTGCTTGTTGTAGATTTTGTAAAAATGAACTTTAATTGCTTCCAATGATATTGAGTCTTATTTTGCATTTATGGGACACTGCACTTGCTAGAGTCAAGTACACTTGGAATGTACTCCCCTGGGTCCTATCAATAAACATCCTGTAAGTTCTGAGACCAAAATGAGAAAGTGAGGACTTTGAACATGGAGAGCTGAAAGCCTGGCCAGAAGGCTGGTATGCAGCTGTCCCCAGTGAGAGGTTAGTTCAACTCTTCCTAATGTGAGGCAGGTGCCAGGAGGCGAAGCACCCATTTTACAGATGGAGGTGCTGACAGGTGCATGCTGTTCATAGCCACAATGATCTCTGGCCTCCTGTTCCCAGTGTGAGTAGGCACTGTGTAGGAGCTCATCCTGAGGGCCTACACGAGCTCCAGCTTCCTCAGCTGTGGATGACTGCTGGGAGTCATCTGGGCTTGTCAATCAGGTGGTTCTAGATATAAACTGGGTCTCCAGAGCTGATTGCACTCTCAATCTGGTGGAGAAAGGAGAAGACAGGAGAGCCCCAGTGCTGAGATAAGGGGCACCTTGTTGCTTCACCTTTCTGCAAGGTGGTATAACTTCTTGGGCAGCTAACACTTGCATTGACAAAGTACCACTTGTGTATTTTAAAGTCTACACTGTTCAAGCTTGCCTCTCCCTGAGTTCCTTTCTACTCAAAAAGGTGGAACTCCTGTCCCACCTCAGCACTAACTCTGAGAACCCTTGGGGGGCGGTCTTAATATGTACACAATCGTTCTTCTGGCCCCACTGATGGAAGAGCAGGGGTTGAAGGACTGAGGCTGCAGGAAATGGAAATGGGAGCAGTATGAAAAGGTAGACAGGCTATGGGAGACACAGAGAGAGGAGCATCATGGACCTTACACTTGTCCAAATAGTGCTTCCTCCTGACGTCCCCTCCACACACAGACCCAGGTCCCCCTGGCTTCTTAGCACCTCTGTGCTTCAAAGCTCAGTGAAGACTTTGCCTTGCCACCACCACCTCCCATAGGTAGAGTTGAGCTAATCCTTCTCTGGGAATAGCTACATACCAGTTTTCTAGCTGAGCTGTCAGCTGCCTACTCCAGTCATTGTTCTCATTCTGTGCCCCACAAAGACGGCACCTCACATGTGGACCCACATGCTTATTCAACCACAGACTGCCCTCCCACACTCTGACATTAACCTGTCTCCCAGGCCTTCCCGCCTCTCCAAAACCATCCTGAGTCTTCCATCCTATACCGTCACAAACACCACAATTCCATTCTTCTTCCATGAGCTTATTGGGATACCAAGGAGCAGCTGAAGCTCAGGCATTAAGGGTACAGCCAGTGTTCAAATCCCAACTGTTCTGGTTATCTGCTGTGCAACTTAATTATGTAGCTCCTCTGCCTCACCTATAAAATGAGGAAAGTCATAGCATATAATCATATGGTGAGGATTAGAGGTGTTAATGCACGTAATTAGAGGAGTTGGGAGCACACATACGTTAGCTTCGTGCCAGTCCTTGATAAGGATGTAAACTCCTTGAAGGCAGGGTGTACCTACTCTCACGTCTTGCCCACCAGTTACCCAGTAACAATTCATGGGCACAGACTGCCTTTTCTCTTTCCTGTGACTACCCTCCACCCTGCTCCCACTCACAAACTTTCACAGATGATCATGGCAGGACTCACTATTAAAATGTAATTCCTACAGAAGAAGATAACCTCCATAAACTCACAGAAAAAAAGTTATGTTTTACCACACCTGGAACATACTAATAGGTTCAGGAAATTTGTTGAATCAACAAAGCTACTGCCCAAAAATGACACCATAAAAACTCAAATGCAAAATTTAATGAAAAAAAAGTACAAAGTGAATCAAAAGGAACAAAAACAGTCAATGAATGAAGGAGTAAATGAATTAACAAGTGAAGCAGTTTTAGAAAAGCATGTTAACATAACAGATGAGCAAGCCAGCTTCCCTCAGGCCTCTTATCCAGTAATGTAAGCTCTCACATAGACATACACAAACACACATGCAATCATTCTGCACAATCACAAGCCACCAAGATTCAGGGTGGGGGACCACTCTTCCTGGTTTGCCTGGGACATGTCTGCTTTATGGCTGTGACCTGGCATAATTATTAACAGCATTTGGACAATAAATTATATGGCGATTCTACCACAAGCCAAAATGATTAAGGAAAGGCATGACAGTAAATGCCAACATGATCCTATATGACAGTCCTAGTAATGCCAAGAGATGACAAAAAAGGTAAATGGATCTGCAAATGGGTGGCTTATTAAATCAAGTTTTATGCTCACCTCATGATTTAGTATCAGCTAAAGATGGCAAAATTCCAAATACAGCAGGGCAGAGATACAATGAAGCTTGCCACAGCTGATGGAACCTATGGAGGTAGCTCAGACCCCAGAAAATCCCCTCAGAGATCCTAGGAAGTCTTGGATCCACAAACAGGCAACCGGCCACAACTATGGCCTTCCAGTGTGCCCGGGGTTGGGGGGAGGAACTGGCAAACTGCAGTGGACAGGTGGCAGACTGCCCACTCCAGAGTCCCCAGGTTGACCTATGAGCTATTGAGCTCATGACCTTCTGGATTGAACCTCATCATCAGGAGTACATTAGCCAGGTGAGGCTATTTTGAAGGTCAAAATTTGACCCAAGTGAATCCACTTTCAGACAGAATCCTGAAGAGGGCCTGCTGAAACGCAGAATGTGCTGCCCTGAATGTGCTGGCTTACCTCTTCAGATATCCCCATGGAAGCATCATTTCTCCAACACAGCCAGAGGAAGTTTTATTGTGAAGTCAATGAAGCTTAATCTTCAGGGCCCCATATCTAATTTTACATACATACTCTTTTTCCTAAAATAGTCTGCCTGAACAGTCCAAACTTCCAGCCTTGCAAAAATTAGGATCTGCCCCTTCGTGGCACACCACTTGGGAGGATTTTCACTGGAAGCATCAATAAAATCTGCTATACTCTCAGTACAGGGAGCCCCTTGGGCAAAGGCTACTCCTTTCTGGCTGTGCTTCAGTGGGATACACATCAGCATAACCCTCCACCTCACTCTGAATGGATCATTATCTTGGAAGGGCAGGAGGAAGCCCAGACTTGGTCCTGGAAATCAGTGCGGCAGGCTTGGTAGAAAGTGGAAAATGGTGATGGGAGGAAGAAGGGTGTGTGGGTGGGGTAATAGAAAACCACCAACCCAGACTCCTTAGGCTCCCAGTAGGGGATGCCAGGCAGTAGGCTCCTCCAGGGGAGAACCATGCGCTCAACACCCAACACAGTACTGCAGTAATGTTGAAGAAATCAGTTTTCACCCCTCAACCCCACTTTACTAGGCCATGTTTTCAACTCTGATATTTCCAGTGACTTTTAAACCACCATGACCATAGAAGAACCAATGATACTAGTACTTTCTTAAAATTTTCCCCCTAGAGAATGCAGCTGGAGGGGAAAAAGCTCTTAGTTGCTAGTTCTTGTCAAATTGTCCTAATGCATCAGGTACCTTCATCATCATAGGTATCCTGTGACTAAGTCAGGAAAGAAGAAACAATGACCTTGAGGTAATAGCCTCTTTCTCACTGAGCACTCTTTGTATTTGGTATATGCAGGACTGGTTTGGGAGTCTTATTTGGAGTCAAACACTGAACACACATACATGGAGTTGGCCCTGTTCACAGGTAGCACCTTTGGAGTCCAGAGACAATGGCTTTGGGCTGCTATTCCATTTACATTCATAGTGAAAAAAATAAATGCTGGATGTGGTCGTGTTCATGTTCCACTTTCATCCATAAAGAAATTCCAAACACTGTCATTACAGGAAGTTTATTACCCACCTCTCCCTATATATTATAGGGTACTTTATACATAAGAAAGGTTTAGATATATTTTTAGTTTTTAAAAATCAGGGAATCTGTGTTACTTAAGAAAATAATGGGAGAGGATATTATGTCTTTATGCTGGTGCCAAAATAAAAATTTAGAAGTGTTTCAAAGTTATTATTGAAATTAAACTCTAGGTTAGAAAAATTAAAATGAAGGGGAGTTGGGAAAATTTTGTAGCATGTATACCAGACCATAGGGCACAACTAGGGCACCACGTGAGTTGCCATCTTGACGCTGAACAATTAGGCCTAGCATCGCCAGCGGGGGCCTTCACTAGAGCGGCACATAACTGCTCCATCAAGGAATAGTGACACTGTAAATGGAAGACCAGCCACTGGCTCTGAAAAAAATAAACCTCATCAGTTTTGGGTTCCAGCATTCATGGCTTAGACGTTTTGCATAGAGAAGGGTGGCTGACCAGCCAGCCCCAGGAACAGCCTGGGGCCAGGGCTAGGGTGGGGGCAAGGCAAGGCTGTAAACACTGGAGTCTGTACCGGCTCCCAGTCCATCCTCACACCATGTTATGGGAGAAGGGTCACAAGGTGTAACTCAAGCAACTTAACACATGAAAGTCTAAAGTCCGCTCTTGACATGTAAGTCTGTGCGTTAACTGAAAAATAAAAATAAAACAAACAAAACAAAAACAGACACATTAAAAGATACGCAGACCAAATCAAACAGAAGCAAAAGACAGCAAGATGGACACTGGGAAAGGGCAGTCAGTTTGGCATTTGTGACGAGCAAAGCAGAGAATTCGCTTCATTTTGTGGCGTCCCAGGCTGAGGGTCAAGATCTGATTGGGAAGTAATTTCGCAAAAATGGGTTAAAATTTGAAGAATAAGTTCAACCAATCAAAGTCATTTAACTAAATGGTCATGAAAAGTACCCACCCCTGAAATGCACTCCCAACCAACCCTATTCCCCTAGACCAAGGCAGGAGATATGCCCCAGCCACCCAGCCCACCTATTCTGGCTCCACTGGTTAACACAGGAAGAGCGTTCTCTCTCCCAGGGGCCAAACTGACTGAAGCTTTCTGGCATATCCAGCAAACTGCAAGGGTCTGTCTTCCAAGCTCAGGCCTGGAGAATGACATACCAGGGAAGAACAGACACTAGTGACAAGCCCACTGACAGCTATGCTGGTCCCCTGCAGCAGTGGGGGTCTCATTCAGTGGGCCTGACCTATTACAGGTCCTCGCCTTCAATTTCTGAATGTACCCCCCCTTCTTCCCTAGGAAACCTGCCTGCCTTTTCTTTAACAGGATGGCATGGGTCACAGTGGCAAGAAGCAGGGCAAAGTCACTTTGGGTGCCACAGTCCTCACACCCCACATTCCCTAAGAGGAACCACATTTCTGAGCTGTTAATTTGAAATACACACAGGTTCCACCCCAGCTCCCATGCTCACCAAACCAAGGGCTGGACATGGGACTGTAAAATGGAGGGAAATTCTCATGGCTGAAGGCAGTGTAGGGACTGGGGTCCTCCCTGGAGACAGGCAGAAGCTTACACATCCCAGCACTGCCAGCAGCTGGAGTGGGCCACCAGGCATTGGGATGGAGATTACAAAAAGGAGGAAGGTCTGTCCCAAAACAGGGGACAGGCCTCAGGAATGATAATCGACATCCAACTCCTAAATGTCTGGTTCTGTCCCCCTGGTCTGTACCAGGAAGAAGCAGTTTAAGTTTCTTTTCTTCAGTGTGTGTCTGCCTCTGAGGATGTGTGCACTGTGTGTTGGTAGATATGTAAATGTTTCTGTATGTGATGGGGCAGGGCATGTAAAATAGCATGTGCACACACATGCATGTCAGTGCATGTTAGAGAATGCAATATTGGGGGTGAAGCAGGGAAGTGTTTGTGCCAAAAGCAGCATCCTGTGGTCACAGATAACCATGCATTTCATGGCCCTAATCCCTATGTTCCACTGTCACCAAGGAAGGAAGGCCCCAGGCACACACATCTGCAAACATTCCAGGAGGAAATGGCAGCCCAAGAATGAGGACCAAGGTGGGTATATCTGCTTATTTCCTGGGTTGGCAAGAAAAGGATAGAACAGGTCCAGGTCAAGGGCAGGGAGAAGTGGGATGGATGAGATCCCCACAGTGTGATATGGCAGAGGACTCTGAATGAAGCAAGTTGGAGAGGAAGAGCAACAGGAGTCAGGGTAGCTGAACTCCAGATAAGGGTGTAGGAACAGACTGTAAGTATTGCCAAGGAGGGCAGGAGGTGTGGCTCAGTGGTATAGTGCTTGCCTAGCATGTGCAAGGTCTTGTGTTCCATCCCTAGCACTGAATAAACACAAAGATAAAAAAAGAAAAGGAAAGGAAAGAAAGAAACACCAAGGAGAAGTGACTGAATTGGCAGCAGACCACAGTTCTGGGGCTGGGAAAGCCTTGCCATCCCTATCCTTCTCTCTTCTTTCTGCTTTCTACAGGAACAATACCAGCCTCTACCTGAGGGGCAGCCCCACTCCTTAACAAAAGTCACAGAGCCCCTACAGAGAGCTGCTGTTCCTTCCAGCCCCACATGCCTTTTGGAATAGCTGTGTGGTGACTAGTTTCCAGGGAGGCAGTGCTGGCTGGCCTGTCCTCATTTCTATTGGTCACCACCTGCCAGCCAACATGAGTCCCACACCCACTGTCTCAGGCAAAAAGGAGGGACATGCCAGAATCATGGGAACTTTCAGAATGTGACTGGAAATGCTAGAAGTCCCAGGCCCTGTCCCTCTCCTGGCCTGAGACTTGCAGAGCCTCCTGTAGCTACATCCTCTCAGCTCCTCCCTACCCTGGGGCCCAGCCTTCTTCATCAAGTTGCAACAGAGGCCCCAGCTGCTGAGGATGCTGAAGGAGAGTAAAAGAGGGAGTGAGAAAGAGTAAGAGGCAGAGGAAGGAGGAAGGGGAGTGGGAGAGCATAGGTCATCGTGTTAGGGAGAGTATGAGGCTATAAGAGAGAGAGATCCAGATTGTGAGATGTCAAGAACACTAGTGCAAGAACAAGGACGGGGTGGGAGAGCAAGTGAAAAGGAGAGAGGAAAATATAAATGAGCAAGAGTGAGAGAAGGTGGGCCAGAGAGGAGGAAGAACAAAGGGAGAAGCAAAGAGCAAACAGAAGGAGATTGTGAGAGCAGGAAATAGTGAGCGAGGGCATGGGGGAAAAGCCAGCACAGGAAGGAGATGCCACCTACTTCTTCTTGTCCTTGTCCTTCCTCAGAGGTTGCTGTGAGGTGGCATGCAAAGCCTGAGACTGCAGGGCCTCCACAGCAGCCTTCCTGCAGTTGAAAGCATTGGTCTCCTCCTCCAGTTCCCGGCGCTTCTCCTCCACCTTGCGCTTCTCCTCCTGGTGGATCCGCTTCAGGTGTTCAAACTTCTCGTGGAGCTGGGGCAGAAGGGGAAGCACTTTGGCATGGGTGGGAAAGGACCCAGGCCTCTACCTCCACACACAGCCAGCCATGCCCAAACCCAGCGCATACCTCCCTTTCCTTCTCCTTCAACTCCAGCTCTGTCTCCTTCACTTTATTCACAAACATCTGCCTCATCTCTTCCTCCTTCCTCTGCAGTTCACTCAGGAACTCCTTCCTCTTGGCTTCGTATGTCTCTTGTAGGCTGTGGAGACCAGGGGAAGAGAGGCCAAAATGAGGTGGGTTGAGGCAGAGCTGAAGCCACAGTATCAGGCAGGAGCTGGGAACAACAGGATGCTGGACTCCTGACAGCCTCTTCTCAGCTCCTAAGAGTCCAGAGGCATGGCAAGAGTGGCTGTGGCTATGAAGTGCAGGTGTCACCTGAAGGGCTGGCTGTCACCATCGCTGTCCTGGAAGCCCATCTCCTCCAACTTGCAGCGCCGATAGAGCTCATAGTGCCGACTGTGGGTCTGCTCTCTGAGGTCCTCCATGTTCACTCGGATCAACATCTCCCGGAGCTTCACAAAGTCACAGTGATTCTCGTTCTCCACTAAAAGCAGGGTGCATGTGGGGCATGAGGCAGACACACAGATGGGCAGGGGAAGACAGCGTGGGACAGGGGTCAAGATGCCTCAGGCAGCAGGAAAGAGGGGGACTAAGTTCAGGCCTGCAGTTGGGGATGTGCCCCCCACACTTACCCTGCACCACTCCCCAAGGGTACTGCCGCGCTCGGACCAACTTGTTCCCCACCTTCACCTCCTCAGTGCTGCCCACCACGGCAAAGGGCAGGTGTGCCTGGAAAGGGACCCAAGTATGCATGAGCACCTCATTGGCAGAGGGAAAGGAACAGATTCCCCTCATTGCCCCTGGGTCCAGGAAGGTGTTCTCGGGCCTGAACAAAGACCCTGGAGCCACATGCTCACTTTCCAACTCTCCTGGAGAAATGGTCTATACATTTCAAATGGTGTAAAGAGCTGAACCTTCACCCCTCTCCCTGGTGTTCCCAACTCCCTAGAGGTACTATTTTCAGGGCTTTAGAGCTCCTTTTTTTGACCTTTGGGCCTGGCTCCCTTCCAGGTCCCCATGCCCTGAGCTCCTGTCTGATCACTCATGCAGGCTTCAGATTCCTGCCCTGAGTCCAGAACTTGTGTCACTCAAATCTGGGGGACCCCTAGCGCAGACACAATATCTAATTCTGCTTGTCTCCTGCTCATACAACATAGGGCAGATGTCAGTCATCCAGACGGAGCTGGCTCCAGATGCCCACCTGACTGTCTTGGTGAAGCTAAGGCAGGAATTCTGGGAACCAGGGTCTCTTGGGGCTGTGTCTTAGACATGTGATGGCTGTAAGCCATCTGGCCTGGGAGCCCTGAGGCCCTTGCTCAACACTCACATTCATGACTGCATTAATCTCTGCAACAGCCTCATCATCAGTGGGAAACTGGTAGATCTGGACTCCATTGCTGACCAGCTCACCCATGATCTTGATCTTGAACTTGTGGAGCTCACTCTTAGAGATGGTGTCAGCCTTGGCAATGATAGGAATTATGTTCACCTGCCAGGATCGGGGAGGAGACAGCAGGTTAGTTGCCTATTTTGAGCAATGGTCCCTGACTATGAACAGTCCTATCTAAGCCACATCCCTGAACAGAGGAGCAGGAAGCCAGAGAGAGGTACTTCTATGGGCAATCCTGGCCCAAAGCCAGCCACGAATGGTTGTTGTGATGGGCTGTAACAATGACAATCAGCTACAATGCTTCTGATAGCCCTAGTCCCCCAAATCACCATCCAGCCCCAGGTTTGGTCCCACTGGGCGTAGTCAGCTTGGACTCCAGATGCTCTGAAGATCTTAACTGGCTTGGAGCCAGACAGAAGCAATGGTGGGAAACCAAAAAATGAATTACTGGTCTGTTAATGACAACACGGCCTCAGATATTCCCCAAGAGACCTTTCCCTGGCCCCCTGGGGTGTAGGTGCTTAGCCATTAGTATGGGGACAGTGAAAATTAACTCCTAAGATGGAAAGGACAGCCACTTAAGATCTGACACGTGACTATAGGATCATTCCCCACAGAGCCCCCCAACTCTTCCAGACATCCCTCTGCCCTTATAATACCCACTCCTCATTCACATCCCAATTCTGAGACTTCACTCTGCTCCCGCAGTGGGCTCAGAAGGAACCCAAGTGGAAACCATGTCTAAGAGGAAAAGGGATGTGAAGGGAGGAACTAGGAATTAAGAATTGAGAGACAAAATGAGCAGAAGAAGCTGAGATGGAAAGGGGATACTCTGGGGAACAGATCAGAGAGAAGTGGAAGTCATTCCAGGAGGAGGAGAATGAGCCAGCAGGGCTGAGAATGAGAAGGGGCTCAGGGCCAGACTCAGAGGACAGAGCTCTGGAGAAAGAATTCAGAGCAATGGGGCCTTCTGGAGTAGTGGGGACAGCTGCAAGACATAATAAGGAAGACCAAGTCAAGAGATCTGTGCGCAAGCCCCTAACCACGTCCCTGAGGACCACAGTGGATAGACAGTCCAGATGCAACCACCAAATCCCATGCCAGAGGAAGATGGTAGAGTCCATGCAACAAGGAGAGGCAGGTACCTTGCTGTCTAGTTTCTTCATGGTCACCAGATCCAGGGACTTTAGGGAATGCCCAGTGGGTGTGATGAAGTAGAGGCAAACATGAATCCTTGTGTCATGGTAGTCAAAGAGGGAGCGGCGGATCTTCAGCTCTTCCTGTAAATAGTTTTCAAACTGCGCATCGATGTAGTCGACTATGGGCCTGTAACTACAGACAGCTCCATCACCTGGGAGGCAGGTAGCTGGGCAGTGACGTGTAGGGCTCAGAGCCAAGCCAGCTGCCCCTCCACCCCCACCTCTCCTCCTTGGGAACAAACAGCTCTGCCCTGTCTAATACAGGTGACCCCACCCCCAATGAATTACTGGCCTGTTAGTGGCCACAGTGCCTCTAACAGTGCTTCCTCCGAGAGACCTTTCCCTAGCTGTTTGGAGTATGGGCACTTGGCCATTAGTATAGGGACAATTTGGAGTAAAGAATGCTTGAGCAGTTTTGGAATCATGGCCAGGAGGGATGGATGAAGCTGGATGGGGCTGTACTTCCCGCCTCTTGCCTCTCATCTTTATTGATCTGATCCCCGAAGCCCACAGCATCCACAATGGTCAACTTGAGTTGCACATTGCTCTCTTGAAGATCATAAGTCTGGGGCCGCAGGCGCACACAGTCCTCATGGTGGCTGGCTTCCTCAGTCTCAAAGGTTGTGTTGAAGAGTGTGTTCATTAGTGTAGACTTGCCAATGCCAGTCTCCCCTAGGAGCAGGAAGAGGAGGTAAATCAAAGGCTGGAGCCAGGGCTGTCCTGACTAATGGGTAGGCCAGGTGGGGCCCAGGCACATAAGAGGCAGGCCTCCCACTTCATCCCTCACTGTCCTCATTCCTTATGAACTATCCCCTCCTCTGTGCCCTCAGAAATTATGTGCAGGGGCTGGGGCTGTGTAGAGCGCTTGCCTAGCATGTGTGAGGTCCTGGGGTTCTACTTCCAGTACTGAAAAAAAAAAAAAAAAAAAGAAAGAAAGAACATATAGAAGAGCTAAAAGGAAATGTTGGACATAAGACATAGAGACATGGCTGTGTAACACATGTGATGCTTCCTCAGGGAGTAGGGAAGAGGAGGCAGAGCCAGGCAGCTGTGGCAACTCCAGCCTCAAAGGAATGCAGTCACCAAACACCTGCTCTGCACACCATCCCTCCTAGGCCCAGGATGGTCATGGGGCCAGCAGGACCAGGGTCTAAAACCACCAGTGGCTAGGTCCACATCATGGGTGCTCAGCTGTATGCAGTCTTAACCAGGAGAGGAGGAGGCTCAGACAGCCTTCTTCCGAGGGGCAGCTGCAGAGGGCCTGGCAGAGCACTTTATGGCCTGCCCTGCCAGGAACCCCAGGCCTTGAAGCACAGAAGGCCTCCCAGGGCCTCCATGTCAGGTCGTGTTTGCTCAGACGTGTGCAGGAGATTTACCATAGGCGCTGGTGATGAAGGACAGTCTGTTTTACTGTAGTCTCCTTCTCACATAGTAAGAAAGAGCGAATTTTGTTTTGTTTTGTTTTTTTAGTGGAACTGGGCCTTGTGCTTGCCAGGCAGGTGTTCTACCACTTGAGCCACCCCCTCATCCACCCCCAGTCCTTTTTGCTTTATTTTTCAAATAGGGTCTCTCTTCTCTCTTTATGCCTGAGCAAGCCTTGACAAAGATCCTAATGTATATGCTTCTTGTGTAGTTGGGCTGACAGGTGTGCACCACCACACCCACCTTTTATTTGTTGAGATGGGGTTCTCAAACTTTTTGTCCAGATTGGCCTCTAACCACAATCCTCTATATCTCTGCCTCCCAAGTAGCTAGGATTATAGGCATGAGCCATTGCACCTGGTGAGTGAATGTTTTTAAAATAAATGAATGAGTAAATGAACTTAATCTCTTTGATAAGTACAGTTTATAAAATACTTTTATGGGCCTGGTCCTGTTTCCTCTTCATGACAACTCTAAGTCAGGTCCTGGCTCCAATCTTGCCCTTGACCCTGGCAGAGACAGGAACCAAACCCTCTTTCTGATCTCCCAAAGTTTCACTCTGTCTGGGAAACCCTCATATAGCTGGACAGTGGTCAGGGCAGCAGTGCTCAATCCCCTAGAAGGTTCTCATCCAGCCTCAGTCTGAGCACCCCCTAGCCAAGTCATGACACTCACCCACACAGAGGATGTTGAAGCTGAAGCCCTGTGTGACTGACTTGCTGACCAACTGATCTGGGAGGCTGTCGAAGCCCACATGGCCACCCAGGGAGAGGCTCCGGAGTTCTGGCTCTGCATTCTGCCAGAGAGAAGTAAAGCAAAGAAGTGAGCTTGCTGGGGAAGCCAGGCCAAGACAGGGGAGACTGTGCCTGAGTCAAACCAGTCCAGCCCTTGCACCCGAGTTTTCGGCACATCTCAGTACACACCTCAGGTACAATGGAGCTCCAACTCCATGCCACGCTCCCACAAAGAGGTCCCTGAATCCTCCCCTGGAAAAAGTCCCTAAGTCCTGTGGCTCTGCTGCACCTGGGGTGACCAGGAATGCTTGGACCTGGGGCTCTGTATCTCCTGGAGGGCTCAACTGTCTCCTTCCCAGGAGGAGGCCTCAGATGGTCCATAGGTGAGACTGGCCTTGAGCTCAAGATCCTCCTTCCTCAGCCTCCTGAGTGGTGTGCACCACAATGCTGGGTTCCCCTGGATTTTAAAGACTCCAGGAGGCCCAGACTGGACAGAATGTACAGTAAGCCTGCCTTATTTATGGATTTATTACACATGGTTTTCACCAAGTACAGTCAAAAAATAATAAATTTTAAAAAGAAATTTCAAAAACAAAAATTTTAAATTCCCACGTGAGCATTATGCAGTTCCGTTGATATGGAGAAGCTCTCAGGCAGTCCTGCATTATCGTCAGCTGTTTAAATCGTTGTGTGGTTTGCTGAGTTTCTTTACTCTTAATTTTGTGAAAATCTGCTCCCCAAAAGAAAATGGTGCCCAAAACATAAGGTAAAAGTTATGGTAATCCTCCTAAGCCAAACAGGGCATATAATGTGCTTAAGTGATAGGGTGAACATTTTAGATTTGTTTAAAGAGAATTGGGAGTTATGGGAATAATGAATCAAGCATCTACAGTATTTGAGATAAAGAGCATAAAATAAGATGTAGTTTTGGTTTACGTGTACAACAGACAGTAATGTAGCCTACTCCATGATGCTTCAAATTAGGGATGTTCTGACCTACGGTACAGATAAATTGAGTAATTCTAGAGTATTGAACTCTATGTATCCTGAGCATTGAGTTTTAACTCAGTGGCAGTCTCCTTGGAACCATATATCTATGGATACCAAGGGTCTACTGTATGGTCCTAAGGCCAGCTCTGAGGACAGCAGGAATGTTTCTACTCTCTCATAGGCCTCTTTCCCAAACCCTCCCACACGAGTTCCATCAGAGAGGCCTCCCAGATCAACTCCCAGAGGGGCTCAGAGTCCTTTACACCTACCTCCCACTCCTTATGCACCCAAGTGCAGAATGCATGCAGGGGCCCTGCTAAAGTGGCCAGTACTTACAAAGACAGCCCACTAGTGGGGCTTAAAGGATGGCTCTTCCCTCATCCTCCTGGTACTCTCTAGACCCTAAGGCTCTGCCTCCTGCCATCCTCCCAACCCTATCCCAGTCATGGCTCTTTAGATAGAAAATTCTGGATAAGAATGTGGGGACCTGGCCTCAGCAGAGAGGTGGGCAGCAGGTCCTAAGTGAGCAGGGGCCACTAGAACTGGCCCATAGCACGATTTTAAAAAAACTATGAGGCTAGGGGAATAGTTCAATAGGTAGAGCACTTATGTGGTCAAAAATAACAGTTTTTGTGTAAATGAAACTATGAGGGCCCAAAGCAGAGATCAAGTCAGACTCCAATTTGTAGTAAATGGTTTCTCTGGTTTCCCTGGAACAGGGATAAAATCATGGCCTCAGAGGGAAGGTTCCCAGGCTCAGTCCCACTTAAGGGCAGGCCCACATAGCTCCTTGCTGGGCATAAACATACCTCTTCCTTCTTGAGTGACTGGTGCCCTTGTTCTAGAAACAACAAGGACGGGAAAGGGCAGTGTGTTAAGAGTCTCACCTGCCCCATCTCCAGAGCAGAGGAAGCAGGTCTCAGGGAGCACAGTCTAAGAGCTACTGTCCAGCACCATGGCAGCCCTTTTGCAAACACAGATACAGCACAGTGGGCAGAGGCAGAGGGGTGAGGATCAGACAAGAAGGCCTAGCTCCTGCCTTGCAGCAGGCTTTCTCAGCACCTGGGTGTCTGCCCTCTGCAGCCACAACCTGTTGCCTTGGCCTGAACCCCTCCACCCAGTCTCTTCCTGCAATGAGAGTCCTCAGGCACTCAAACCCAACCACTCCTCTGCTACTTATGTCTTCTCTCCCTGAAGCCCTACATGGCCCCTCTAGTGATACTGGTAGTATCTTCAAACAAGTTGTAGTTTCTCCTAAACCTATTCTCTTCAACAACTATCAGTGGAGCCTCTGTTCTTACAGATGGTCCTTCTTCCCTACCACCTGTCCCATCTCCCCACTCAAGCCCAAGTCCCCTAAGGGCTGCAAACATCCCCTGACAAAGGAGTCCCATGACATTTTCCTCTTATTAATGCCTACCCCATCAGAAACACTACAAGGAGCTAGGCTGCACTGGGCCAGGTCCAAACTTCTTAGCATGATATTCCTAGCCTTCCTCACAGGCTCTGTTCCTTTACAACCTCTGCCCTTTCCTGGGCTCTAGAGCTCAGAAGAGAACTTTTCCTGGTACCTGCTCTCACCTGGCCCATAAGTACTTATACCCAGACCTTTACTGGCAGTGATGCCATTTCCTGGCACTTTTAGTTATCCTTAGAGCATCTTGGTTCTCCACCTATGCCATTCACTTCTGGAAGCTGGCTGCAGGTTAAGGAGGTGAAGCTTCCCATTCATCCCATCCTTCCCTCTTTGTCCCCCAACACTATCCATTTATAAGTTACTGGACACCATCTTCAATTACTACTGTGTCAGGGCATCTGCCCATCCTCACACAGGCTTACTTGTTTAGTCTGTGTTCCACCTGCTCATGGCAGCTTGAGGATCAAATGGAGGACAGAACAGTCAGTCTGGAGGCTTTTTTCTTTTCAGGCAAGACTGAAAAATCTCCAAAATTTAAGGCGTGCTGTGCTTGCAGAGAAGGCTGTGTGTTTATTCATCCCCTTCTTCCAAGGGTGACACAATCAGGATGCAATCCAACATCCTGTAGTCTGCTGCCAAAATCCACTAAGTCAGCTGTGTCTGGAAACCACATACACTCTTGCACACACACATGCACACACACACTCACACATACACACACAACCACAGAGCACTTGCAGAAAAACAGAGGTCATCTCAAGCCTCAGGGATTTCCCCTGCTCTCCTACTTTCTTACAGTTCCAGGATCCACGGGCTAAAAGCAGTACTGGAGGACTCACATAAACTCATCTACCCAGGCTTGGCAAATCTGCCTGCTCTTCACTCACACAACTTGGCTTTCTCTGTGGAAGCGTGTGGAGGACAGGAAGGCTGTCACCCCCAAGTTGTTGCCCATGCTGTACTGTGTCACCAACAGCCAAAAACCTGGGAAAATGTCTGCTCAGAAGCCTCAAGGATAAGTGGGGTGTGAGTCTATGGAGTACATTCTCATGTACACACACACACACACACACACACACACACGAATGGCCACTGGCCCTGATGGAGACAGTGTTCTTCCCTGGTCTCAGGAGACTGATGTGACCTTCTGGCTTTACTGAGGGGTGACTCTCACTAATGCCAGACTTCCTGATCATACATTTGGCATCAGAAACATGTGATCCAAAGCACCTTGCTAGCTCCAAAGTGCCCCCTAGGTGTCTCCTAACTTGGGTGGGGTCAGAGTCAAGGAGGAACCAGCAGTTCCTGAAGCATCCCCTCCACACCTTAGTTATCACGGCTCAGAGATAAAGGCAGATCTCCCACTGGCTACCAGCCCTGACGTTTGGTGGAAGCCAATCAGCATGATGCTATGACTGGCTCAGGTACAGGCAAGTGACTTAGGTGGAGCCTTTATAATCATCTGGTGACCATCAGGGAGCTAGCTTAAGGCTGAAGTCCTCTCACAGAGGATGGCAGAGTAAAGAAAGCCACAGAGAAGCCAGAGTCAATGTCTGCCCTGCCTCTGGTTTTTTACTTTGTGCTCGGTCCATATCTTACAGCTGGAGGAGGAAATTCTCTAGCACTTGCTACTGAAGGCACCTGACAGCTACAGTCTCCAATGTGAAACTTTGCATGCACAGGGACAGGAGGGAGTGAGGCAAGTGAGGAGACCCCAGGGAGTAAAGGTGTGGAAGACCAAGCTTCTGAGTTCACAACCACAGGAAGGAATGATGTCAACAATGACACCAGCTCCTCACTGAAGACTACTATGTGCAAACAAAGCCATTGAGTTCCACACAGTCTCTCACTTAGTCCTTCTACCACTTGGTGTCAGATACCACTGTGCAGATGAGGAAACTGAGGCACACAGAAGCTAGAGAATTAACCAAGGCCAAGCACAAATTGAAGAGTGGGCCAAGCCCTTGCCCAAAACCCCTCTACTACATTGCCTTCTCTACTCTTCACAGGCTCCCAGCTCATCACTGTCAGTTGGACACACTCATTGAACACATCTCTGTGTGCAAGACACCAGAATGACTAGCAATAAAAAGGCAAGGGCACTCTATGTTTGACTTTGGGGGGTTCATTCTAAACTCAAGTGCCCATAGAGGCCAGGGAGGTAACATAAATGAACAAAGAGCAGCAATATAGTGATAATGATGACAATAACTACAAAAGTAACAGCTATCATCCATTGCTCACTATGTACAACTCTAATGTCAATCCATACATCAGCCCTGTGAGGTCAGCTATAATATAATATGACCTCCACTGTACAGATGAGACCACTGAGGACCACACTGCTCAGGAGGGTGAAGGCAGAATCTGAATACAGACAATATGCCTGGGAAACCCATACTTCTGGCCACACTGCTCTACTGGCTGCTGGATGAAAGACAGCCACTGATGTGACCAAGCGTGGATCTCCCAGGAAGAGGTAGGAATGGTGGGGAACCGCAGAGTCCATGCTGATGGGTCATCCATGATGGCCACAGTTCCACAACTCCTACCAAGCTAGCTAGTATTCCCAAATCTTTCAGTTTTTTAAGAGAATCCAGAAATGTAGACCTTTATGTGAAATCCTCTAAATTTTAAAGGTTGGAAACCAATAGA